TGTGCCAGAAAATTTTTTGCTTAGCTGCAGTTTAATATTCTGGGATGGGATCATTTCTAGCAGAGCCGTCAGAGCCCTGTTTAGCACCACAGCAATCGTTTGAGAGGCATATCAAGCAGAGGCCCTCGCCAATTCATACGTCACGTCTAACCACAGTGACATACATTTATTTCCATTTAAAACTGTGGAGAAGTAGGTATGTGCTGCAGCTCAGCTGCATACGATTGAAATGCAGGGCCTCCCTGGGTAGTTCCAGGAAATGAGTTTGCTATATCTGTGACAGCCATCGTGTTCACACAGCCATAAGAGCAGCAGAGCTCGGTGTGAGGTTTTTCCACCACGAGCACTAGCCAGGCAAAAGCCCGTGGTTCTCCTGGCCTGCAGCCATCCTGCACTGCCTCCAGCCTGGACCCCTGAGGGTGCTGAGCTCCCTGTGGCTTTGTCCAGGAGCAGCCTCTGTGTTGCACCCACTGAAACTGCAGGGCACTGGCAAGCACATCACTCTCAAATTCTTTTCTGAGGTGGAGAATGCCTTTAGGATCATTTTGTCTAAATATGGCAATACAAGGTTTTTTGAGCCACAAAGTATAAAACCCAGTTTTCCCTATGGTTTGGATTGCTGCAGTGAGTAATGCCAATTTCTTAGGTTTTTTTTTAAAAAAAAAAAAGTGGCAGTGGGGAAAGTAAGCATTCATCACCTGGTAATCCAAAAGAATTTAATTTTCTTCATCCATATCTGCAAACCAATTTAGTCTCAATTCAAGGTACGAGCAGCCTGCACTGGGAGGTTGCATTACTGTGTAGTATATTCATTTTAGTAATTTAAAAGAATGCAGAAGCAAACATAGTTTTTAAAAAACAAGCTTAAGAAGTAAATGGTGTAGTTTATTGCCCTCCATCTGGTTAGCTGTCTCAAAGGTCATAAAATGGGTTTCCTTTGGTGGGACAGTTGGGTTTATATAGCATATGCAGATTGGTATTTTGGCTTTAAGCCAGATCTGCCTAATCTTCCATTTGGCTTCTGTGATGAGGAGAGGTGGTTAAGGTGGATTAAAAAAGCAGAGTTCACTTGTTTTATCAAAGGGCTGAGCCCGCAGCCAGGCACAGCCCCAACTCATGCCATCCAACAACCCACACCTCTCAGCTCTTTATGCACTGCCACTACTGATGATTATGGTGTGAGGCAAACCAATAGGAGCCAGAAAATTTACATTGCTCCTGCAGCCTTCCAGAGTGTGGGTGTTTCTGTCTGTTCATATGTATAGTTCTATAGACATAGGCGTGCCCATAGAACAAAGAAAACTTGCACACATCCAGGAACACCCTATGCTATTGCAACAGCAAATTCAGAGGAGAAGTATATTCTGCTGCAAGGGTGGCATGCAGCACCGGGCTGGTCCCTGCCTGGCATACCACCAGCCTTTGGCTGGTCCTGCTCCCCCCAAAAAACAGTCTCGCTCTTTTCACCTTGTCATCGTTGGCAGTGCTCCTGGGCTGAGCACACGTACCTCTCTCTGCTGGGAGAAGCAGCCACCAAAGGGAGCTGGAGCTGCAAAAGTGGCTTTTCCCACTTAGAGTCCTGATGGGACCATGTAAGTAAAGAGCTTTTTCCAGTGAGCTATATGGAGTTTTCTGTAACAGAAATAACTTACGTAAAATAAAAACGAAGTTGGCAAGCAGTATAAAGGCTTAACCTTAATAAATGCAATATTTAGTAGTGTATATTTGGTGTTAAGTTTGTAAAGAAAACCAGACTGCAAAGCTGGCAGGAGCTGCAAGCTAAGCACCAGAAAGAGGAATGTCTTGAAGTGCTCAGTAATCATAAGGAAGTAGTTTCCTTCTCATCCAAGGACAGACTGCAGTGGCCTTCCTGTAATGCAGTCATCTCATACCTGTCAACGTCAACTTGAAGGTAACTTGAACAACTTGACTGAGAATGTAAAAAGATGAGACATTCAGTAGTCTATTGCAGTCTGTGGGTAAAGGTGCTATAGAAGAGAATAAGCTCTTGGAGAACCAAAATATTTTTGCCAAAAATATTTCACACTATTCACTAACTACAGCTAGTGCTTTCTATGCTAATGTCTGTTTTAAATGCAGGCATTTTATGATCCTTCCTATATGCTTTTCCTTAGCTAAACAGCACATTAAAGATTGCATATGTATTTTTCTGCATATTTTAATAATTTTACTCCTATCTAAATAAAACTATACAAATTGATAAATAGAGCATATTTCACTGTACATCACTGTAATTAAAGAACTAAGAACCACATACTAAGTTCTTGGTGTAAAAGTTTGGTGTAAAAGCTCCATTTAATTATACAGCAGCATGTTTTAATTGTTACCAACTAATGAAAACCATTCTTCCTTTAGAGAAGGAATTAAAAGTACAAACGCAAATTAGAATTCATGCTCGAAATACTTTTTTTGTGATTTAGAACAGTGTTGCATTGGGTAAGCTAGTCAACACATTCTCTCTTCATGTTATATTCTTCCTACATTTCAAATTACTCTTCTGCAGTTGGTAAGCAAAACTGAGAGGGAGAATAGCTACTTCAGATACACATTTTAGTTCTGCACCAGATGTGTGTGAAGCAATGAAGTCCAAAGAATGTAAGCATGTCCAGCCCAGCAGCACTTGTCTCATGTAGTATTATTAAAATGAATGGTTCTTGGTTGGTTTTCTTTAATTCCTTTATTCTGAAGGAGGAAAATGTGTATGCATTGACTAAAACTCAAATTTATTCATAGGTGTGGATACCCTAAGCTATATAATACAGATGTTTTAAAATTTAAAGAAAGCAATTTTTGTTCATATTGCTTGTGCTCTTCCCATCTGTTGTACTTTTCAAGATTTGAAATCTTGTACCAACTTTTTGTCTAAAGATCATTGCTGTTGTGTTTTCTAGATAGTCTTACTCATCTTTTATTACCTCTTGGAATAAAAGGGTTTGCCTTTGCTTAAAATTCCTCTCTTCTCTAAAAAGTTATTCTTGATTATTTCTCTTGAATAAACATATTGGTTGTGGCATCCCAAGAACAACTAATTTTTCCTAGCAGGAAACATCAATGCATCCTGTAGCTTTATGTGTAAGCAATTGTGAAAACGTGTTTCCCTGTAGAGCTGCTAAACATATGTTAAGCTTTGCTGGCAGGTGCTTCAGAAGATCTGAATTTAGAATGCTTATGTGAGCAAAACTCTGCCCATGGTAAAATCCCATTTTGACTCCGGGACTTCCTCTGGAAGTGAGAGTGGTTGCTGCCACTGGAACCCAGTTGGAAACATAAAATGTTCTTTGTTGTCTGCTTCCTCCTTGTAAGTTTTTTCTTTGCCATCCCTCATGTCCTGATCCTTTAGAATACTTCCAACTTGCAGAACTGCTTTTACAATAAGAATTAGGTTTCCATAGTAAAATTCAGCTCTTTTTCTCTGTGACAGTTTATCTACATAGTCACGTAGGATATGTGGATGTTCGGTATTTGAGGCAGCACAAATAAAGACTATAAATACTAAGGAAAGAAGAGTAGCAGAAGCCAAGACCATAAACCAAAAAAAACCCAACCCAGATCTCATGCAGACCTTGCTGTTGAAGCAAAGAGCAAGAAAGTGAAATAAGGACTGACAAGATTAAAATTAATCTCTCTGTTTTAGAGTCATAGGAAATGGCCTTAATATGTCAAGTCAAGAGTCTTCCTTCAAGAGATAATCAATTCATGTGCTCTTAAAATCCTGCAGAGATACAGCTTTTGTGACTTGTATGCGCTACTACACTACCTCACTATCCATGCCAGGAAAAGGTTTTTTACTCACGTCTAACTGGCCTCTCCTTGTTTCTATGCAAGCCCATTCATCTTGCCTGATCTGGACCCAGGTGTATTCTGTGACAGTCTTTTTCATTGTCATCACATTCTCTTAGAGTAACACATGAGGCTTACTGGACTGGAGCACTGAGCTATCAGGAAACCTAATTATAATAAGTTAGTTCCTCATTATTGTAACAATCATTTCCATTTCTCCTAAAGAAAGTTGCAGTTGATAAAGGGTGATGCTACAGGTCAGCACTTTCACCTTTTCCTGTTCTCTTCTTCACTGTTGACTTTCAATTATGTTTTTGTTTTGGAGAAGAAGAAAATACTTAGGATGCTCTGGCAGCCTGTTGCCATCAGGTAGAAAACAGCAAAATGATTGCCTGGAGAGTTTGCTTTACAACTTGTTCAAATATATTCAACTCCAGTGGTAATCTATTGAGAAAGGAGGCAAAGAGGCAAGTCAGTATTTTTATTAGTAACTCTAATTCTTTATGAAGTATATTAGTGTTGTATTTTAGTTTACCAAAGCAAAAGTTGTCAGGTGAAGAAAAAATACTGAAAGCTTCCGTTCCTGGGGCATGACAGGAAGATGCATCTAGTTCAATTAACAGGTATAACAGGACAAGAAAGTTAACAGGCACAGTCATTCTTGAGGTGTTACGTGGTGGTGCCAGCAATGCTTTGGTGCTAGCCTGAGATGGATTCAGGTTGATAAATATATGTTTAGATTAGAATTATAATAAAGCACAACTGAGATAGGTCACCATATGCCACATAGGAAATAACCTATTAGTTCAGCTCGGTGGTGTGCCCAATATATACTTGACATGCATCAGACAAAATTTCCAGAGCTAGGCAAGATTGTGGATTTCTCTGCATGTAGTTTATGCTCATCATTCATATGATCTAATTTGCCTTTTTAGATAAACATTGACAATTAAGATATTCGGTGACTACACACAATACCAAATGCCATGTATGAACTAGCCATATTTAAACATGCAATTCTGTCTTCAAACATGTATATTTTTTCATATCTCGTTAAAAGTAAATCCATCATTAAGGAGACAGCTTAAGCTTATTTGCATCAGTAATGCAGTAGGGCCATGTCTTAATGTTTTAATCAAAAATTTTAGATCTGGTCTCATTAATCAGCACCCACCATGTTACTTGTTGGTTTTTTACAGAACATAGGAAAATTGGCAATCTGACTGTGACAGTGAGAAAGACCGTCCCCTCTCCAGAAGCAATACAGATCCTCTACCAACGCATGAGATATGAATATGAGTTTTATTACTACGTCAAAGAGCAGTTCCACCTGCTAAAGCGTAAGTTTGGACTGAAGTCTCATATCAGGAAACCGCATCCCAGACCTGAATTCTTCATTCCTTCTCCCCTGGAAACAGAGGAACCAATAGATGATGAGGAAGAAGATGATGAAAAGTGGCTAGAGGATATCTATAAAAGGTGATGGATGGAAGAGCTATCCTTTCTCTTCTGGTGACCCCTCCAGCTTTCTTAAGGTGTTTTTAATTATTATTAAAATAATTCCTGAAGGAACTGAGTTAACGCGCAGCGGATTTGAAATGGAACAGAAGAGACAATTCCCACATGGTAGAGCCATTGGGAGATACCTGGTTTTGCAGGTTTGATTCATTATATGGCGTTGGCTCTTTAGCATCCTTGCTGTAGCAGATTTCATGAGAGAAGTACCTACCATCTATCACAAAATAACTTTTGGAATACACAATAATCCTTCAAAACCTGAAAAATATAAAATAATAGATTAGACCATCTTGAAAAGTAAATTTTACAGACCCTCTCTCTCTCTCTCTCTCTTTGTCCAGAAACAAGTTTTCATTGCATAACACCGTGGCATTAATTACCAGCAATGTGAACTACAGACAGTGAGCCATTTGGGAAGAGTGCCTCTTTGTGCCAAGAGCACACTGGTATCCCAGGGGTATGGTCAGAGCCATTGCCTGTGCTCATCCAAGGATAACAGGCTCAGAAAGGGGCTAGGAACAGCTTCTTGAATTACCTCGTGCAGGAGGAGTGAGGCTGCTGTTCTGGCAAATCAATACTAGTGGGTATAAGGCAAGTTACAGCAACCAGATGTTTTTGGTAAACCCTTCTAGTTCATAGAGTGGGAAAAGTTACCAGGTCAGTGAATGGCAACAGCAGATTAAAAGTGCCAGGCAGGGTTACCTAAATGGTAGTTTTATTTCAGTAGCTGGGTGCATTTCTGTTAGACTCAGAAGGAAAAGGTGCAGCATATGGTTTTCATGTTCAGGCAAGGTATTTGCAGATTTCTATTCTTCTTATGGGTCACAAATCCAAAGAGATACAGAAAAAATTACTCATTAAAAATTTTAGATGATCTGGAACTCCTATTAAGCACAACCTGTATTTCTGCAACTGCAGAATTTAGTTGTTCACATCTGAAGCTGAACACAGCTGCCCCACCAGCACAAACACCAGGCTCCTGCTTTTTGCATGGCTAGAAGGAAGATTTACAGTATGGACAGCAGCTTCTCTAGTTGGAATATTTCAGGATCACAAAACAAAGAAGAGAAGGTATGCTCTGTGAAACCAAAGCCAATTCAGTGACAGGTTGTTAGGAGAGTCACTGTGAAAGTTGCCTTTGTTAATCACTAGAAGTATTATCAGCCAGCACTAGAAAGGGGATCGATCGGTGGAAGCTGGGAGGGGAAAGGGGAATAGCTCCAATATGTGACATCCTGTTGTCTTTAAGGTGGGTGTGTGTGATGTGTGTCCTGGCCAGCTGTTCAGCAGCCTGCCAGGACTGGTGGTGCAGGAGTGACAGACCAGCGGGCAGCCGTTGGCCCTCTGCTCCAGAGCAGAATAGCAGGGAGTCTGGGGGTCGTGATGAGGCCTTGCACTCTTGTGCACCGCTGTTGCTAGAGGAAGCTGGACTAGTAGACAATAATAGCAATAAAATCCTGTCCCTAGAGCACAGGAAAGAAGCAGGGACAAGGAGTTGCAGCTGCTTTTCAAGATGAAGACAATTCACCTCTGTCGAACTCATGTCCTTGCTCAAACATCTACTGGGCAATTTTTACTTCCTATTCTGTTGCTGCCATCTGCAAAGTCATACTTCAGTTTGCAATAACAAGCAAACGTTATTTTGTGATGGATGAAGCATATAAAGTCGGGCTAAGCTCAAATGTGCTTTCCAAGGGTTTCCTCTTCCGTGAGCCTGCTGAGAGCCAATAAACATCTTCATCACTTCATCTTTACTGTACCTACATGCAAAAAGTGAAAATAAAGAAGTGTAATCATGTTAAGACAAGATGCTAACTTACAGAAAACACTATGAAGAAGATTCTGTTTTCGTTATCAACATCCCGGGTTGGTGATAGCAATGCACTACTGTGAGGGAGCACGTTAAAGAAAGCTGAAAATGGCACAGATAACAACTAACATGTTAGCTAAAATATGAATCTGCTGCATTGTATATTTTAAGTGGTTTCTATGAAATTACATTGAAAGAGTAATGATTAGTTTACACACTGTGGAGTTGTTATATTTTGGAAAGAAAACTAGTATTCTCACCTTTCTGAAATTCTGTTTGAATCCTTTTTTGCCAACATTTTAACAGAATATAGTCACTTAACACATTCGCCCTTCATGCAAGTTCACTGCCGCTTACCCTGAAGTCTGTTTTTATCTGTTTATTTAATGGTATCTTCAGCCATCATTACTTACAACCTAAATACAAAACCTGTTTAATGATTTACTCGCTAGGTTTTAATGTTGTTAACCTGGCCTCTCCTCCTTGACTGGTACTTCTTAAATTTATCTGGCACATAGCATCTAATATTCCTGGTCCTATGGCCTATTTCTCTGTCATGAAATATATTTTACTTAACTGTTAGAAGGTACGTTTTAAGCTGGTTAATCTTTGACTTATTTATTGAAATTTTTCAGCACATTCCAAATTCTAAGTTGCTCAGGAAGAAGTTGATTTAAATGATTATATTTTTGGTCTGATGAATATTTCTTATTAAAAAAAAATCATTGTTTGTAAGCCTTTAGCCCACGACAGCTTTGTAGGAAGTGCCGTGCATGTACTCGTAGGTCTCTGTGGGGGGAAAAGATGGGTGCTTGACACTTTCAAAAATAAGAAAATATATGTGTACATTAATTTAGCTATAAATGAAAGCAACATAAGTTTTGGGATGAAATCTTCTTTAACTTATTCACTACTATCTCCTGAAATATCAATAAGCCATATGACTCTTTATTTTTCAGTCCAGCAATGTTTAAAAATAAAACTTGCACATTTCTTCCTGGCGCCATAGTCCACTTGGTTATGCTAGTTTTCCTGCCTGGGTACAGTGGCTGTGGGTAAGAGGTTGGCATTGCACCCTGCAGTACAGAGTTGGATACGACATACTGTGTCATCTGAAAGTCATACTTTAGCATGTAATAACTGGGTTATTCTATGTCTCATACTGTCTGGAGGTGTGAGAGTGAAGTCAGAATTATTTTACTCACCTGAGATGTGCACTCAGTACCCTGAAGTACATTGTCTCATGTGTTCTGTGGCTGCTAAGTAGAAAGGAATTTTATCCAGGAGAGAAACAACTTAGTCCCCATACACTGCTTTTTACGGGACGTGGTATTTGATGGCCAGGCATAAAAGCTCCAATAGACAAAGCGATATTGTAATGTAAGCGAAGCATGAGTGTTTTCACACTAAAGAGAGAATCAACTGTTGTTAAAATGCAGCATTCTGGAAAAAATAAATTTTAGTCTTAAATTTCAAGTGACAGTGACAAATTGTGCCATTTTTTGTTTCTGTTTCATTTACTTCTCTTCCACACAAATTGTGCTGGTGATGCAAGGCTAAGTCCAAGTTTCTGAAATGTTACCTACTTATATATAGAGAAGTAGCTTGGCAGAACTGAAGGTATATGAAACTGATGGTGTATTTGAAGCATTTCAGTTTCTTTGCAATTCTTTATCATTGGACCCTTGATGAATTGTTTGAATGTTACAATATAGAATGGTGCATTGTATAATAAAAACACAAACCCACAAAATTTAAACATTGGAGAACAGATCTGTGGATTCCAGCCATAGAATTCTTCCTCCTTTCAAGGTTTGATATAAAAATATTTAATGTAAAGGTAAGTTTTTTGATTAACAAAGGAAACTGCGCTGCATGCCAACTTGGATCCTCTTATCAAATGAAAAAAACATTGCCTGCCAAAGAATAAAACTCCACATTCTCTTCAAAAAAGAAGGTCTGTAATTCCCAGTTAAGGGTAATGGTGCTCTGATCTTTCCCTCCATTTTAAGAAAGGGAACATCTGTGATGTTAGACCATTAGCCTAAAACAACATAGCAACATTTTTGAGAGCTAGAATACTGTAATATAATACCACAACATTCCTTCTGTTTTATTTTTAAGGAGTTGGCCTTTATTGAAAGAGTTCAGCAAACATATGAAACACTGTCGATCAGTCTGCTTGCATGAGGCAAGACCAGAGTGAAGAACTGAGTGTTGCTACATATAGACTGCCATACACAGATTACATGGGAAATACGAGGGCTTTACAAGGCTTGGAAGTGTTTATCTAATAGAGTTGGAATCACCAGAACCACTTTTGCAGGGTCCATTCCAAGGGAGGATTTTCAGAGTTAGGTTCTGCTTAGGTGCCCACAGGTATGGTGGGAAGGGTGCTGGAAAGCAGCTCCATGAGAAATGGCCATTGGGGGGTGAAAAAAATTCCCTGCACAATGTTTGAAGTGGATGGAATGCTTCTTTAGTTTGAAGGTTGAAAGTTAAATTGCAGCCAGCATAAATCACTTGCTGATGTTTCACAGCTGAAAAACAGTCGTGTTTCCTTCAGTTTGCCCAGAAGTGGCATTGCACGCCAAGTTGCAGCATGTAGGGAACCTCAAATCTCAGCTGTAAGCTTTAGAAAGTAGGTGTATGTAATGGGAGCTCTGGCAGTTGTGTCACAGCACTGATGTCTGATGCTATCACCTTGGAAGAGCCTGGAGGTGGGGTGGGATGTTGTTCTGGGGCAGCGAGATGAAAAAGGGGCAGGTTTTCTGCAACTATATATTTGGCCTTTCAGACACCGTAACATAGCGAGATTTGACCAATGGTCTACTTGAATGTAGATTTCCTTTTCTGAATATGTAAAGGAGGAATGAAAGTTGGTTTTGCATTTAACTTACTGTGGCTGAAAGGGTAAGTTTAATAATGCTGCGGCCAGGCAGACACAGTAGGAGTATGCCTTATGCAGACTTTTGTCATCCTTCTGTTCCCTTCTTTGGATCCAGTGGGCAAAAAACAGTTAAAGAATTCAGCTACACTGCAGGGCAATTGGTGCTGGAGCAAGCAGATATTAGCAGAAATACATGGAGGCAATGCACTTCAGAGTTAAGATTAATGGTCTAAACACAAGGATTATATAGAGCACCCAACAGGAG